ACAGACACACACACACACACACACACACACACACACACACACACACAGACACAGAGATACACACACACACACAGACACAGACACAGATACGCACACACACACACACACACACACACACACACTGAGACACAGACACAGATACACACAGAGAGACACAGATACACACACACACACACTCTCACACACACACACACACACATAATTAGTTCTTATTGTATGACTGGCTTTATTACACTTCCTACTTGCATTATTTAGGCTACTATTAGATTTTGCTGTCAAAATTGCTGTTGAGTTTGCAAAATTTCGCTGGTATCTATAGCTTTGGTATTTTTTAAAAAACCTTACTTCCAGCAAAAAACAATTATATCATTATATATTGATATTGTGAAATAAACATTTGTCCATGATTTTGGTCATATTTCAATGAAAGCAAGTTTCTTCCAAGGAAAAAAAAGAGGTAATTTGCAATTTCTCACAACTGGAAGTCAGAATAATGAGATATAAACTCAAAATGTTGAGATTTAAAGGTCCACTGAAGTGCTTTGAAACACGCAGCTTTATTTCATGTGCTGATGTCATTTCAACTGAAACAGGAAGACAGGGCGGGGCATATCAAGCAGTCCCGCCCCCTTCTTTAAACACCCAATAGCGTTTTGTTTATATCACAGCTTGGACCAGAGCAGTTGATCTTGGTAAAGCCGCATTTGACAGCGTATGACAGCCACAATCTCATCCATATCGCTATAAATTATAGCATTCTGTACAGAATTCAAACCCCTAGCATGATGTTTCCAAAATCAGTGAGTAATTGTGTTAAATATTCGTGTTCTTAATATTGACCAGAATAATTGAGACTGTAGTTTTTGCTGTAATCAAGCAGATCAAATGCTAATGAATGAGTGATTTTATGAGTGTGTTTTGCGCAGATCTTCCACATGACCTATGACCTGGCCAGCGCGATGGTGCGGATCGTCAATCTGATTGGCATGATGCTGCTGCTGTGTCACTGGGACGGATGTCTGCAGTTCCTGGTGCCGATGCTGCCATTGGCCAGTCAGCCAGATGGCCCCGCCCCCAAACACAAACGTCAGACAGATCAGTGTGAAAGAGTCACGGGTTTGTTTGAAGCTCAGGTGAGCTGCTCAAACACTGTCATCACAGCAAGAACAGCGGATTTGTGTGTGTGTGTGTGTGTGTGTGTGTGTGTGTGTGTGTGTGTGTGTGTGTGTGTGAGGGGG